ACATCATGGTGTATGGTGGTTGGTTGAATTATGTTTGTTATGCTTTAAAACTATGTAACTGATAATGGGCTAACTGCTTAAAAAGGCCTGGTTTCTGCAATAAAGCAGCTCTCCTTTGCACCTGCCTGGGGACTCTGTGTCACTATGGACCCTCACCCACATCTGGGTTCAGCAAAGTGAACATGATGAAAATCACACATATTTGAAGATTATAATTAACTTTTATGGATGGAGTCTAACTAATTAGGATTCCATGAAATCAGGTGACTTGAGAAATTTAAATGTAATTAAAGAGGGATAATAAAGTATAGCATCATAGAAAATGCTTTGGCATTTTGTAGTAATGGATGTCCACCTTGCTTGGAAAATTTTAAAGTAGACAAAGTATATTTTAAAGAATACCATGAGAAAGTAGGCATTTAAACATAGGTCTGTACCATCTGCAATTCAATTTTTTGTTCTCTCCTTTTGGTGTGTGATTCATTCCAACAGCACAGCAGATTTCCTACGGAGGATGATTCAAAAAGTTTTGGTTCCAAAAGTACAAACTTCTCAATCAAACATCTGGGTTATTGCATCTCCCCAGGACACTTTAATGCCTATTAATTGTTTCTCATTTTTTCAATTAAACATTCTTTAACTACACTACTGGAAGTGTCTTTTCTTTCATTTGACCAGCATTTCCCATTTCAGCTGATCTCTGTGAAAAGAAAATTAGAATAAATATGTTTACAAGCCAGCCTATTTAATTTTAATTTTCTTTGCTCTCTGTTGAAAGAGTGCAACTTACTGCATTTCCCGGGTCTTGAAAAAAGCTTTGGAGAACATTCAGTGTCTAGAAAAATTTGCTTTGCCTTTGTATTTATTTTATAACAGATGCCAGAGTCCTTATTAAAATCTGAAATAAAGACAACATATACTCCAAGATTATCTCTTAAAATCTAAGTAATATTTCATCGAGGATGGAACATCAATGGTTCTTTTAGAAATAACTTTTTGCTGCCACAAGATTAGCAAATTTTCCAGTGTCCCAAAAAGACTTTCACCTATGTTAAAACAATTACCTATTTTCATGATTCATATGGAAGAAAATTAGAAGACATCATACCCTTCCATGACTTTGCAGCTAGCAAGAAGAACAAGAAATGTCAGCTTCCCAAAGCACCAGAGAAGCCTGATTGAAATTATTCATAATATAATAAGCTGTAGTGACTGATCTGATGGCAATTGTTATTACACACAATTTTTCCAGACAGGATGAATGCTGCAGTCTGAAGCCCTTCACATTTTCCTTTCCCTTACACCACCTTTTTGGGCCGTAAGACTTTGGTGAAAGACAAGATCCTAGACAGGACTGATTCATAGATCAAAATCTTTTTTATGGGATGGAATAACCAATTTTAAGGCAGACTTGTCTCGTGTTTCTGCATAACAATCTTGAACCAGGATTGGAATATATGTTGTAATTCCATGTTGGATATTTTTCCCTTATACAAAAGAAGTCCTACTTGTATTCTATAAGTACTCCCTACTTCATGTTCTCATGGTAAAAGGCTTTCAGATCTAAACTGGCATGGTTTCTGTGTGTAAAGAGGAAATAAATAAGATCCCTCTGCAGATTTATTCATGTGCACCTACTGCCCCACTTATTCTGTCCCGTACTGGTTTTAACAAGTATTAACAAACAATCCATTGCTTCACAGGCTAATGCAACACTGGAAAAGCTAGAATATTCAAGCAGATTGAAATTTCAAAGATAGACAGAAAAAGCAGTTTGCCACCCTACCCAAAGAGCTACAATTACTGACATTCTTCTCTACAGATAGACCTTAAATCCACAATATTTAAAAACTTGTGAAATGCCAGCTTTTTATTGAAAAGTTGGCAAGGAGAGGAGTGCGGGTTTTTTAAAACGACAAACCATATGTGGGCCTAAGTTTAGCCCCTAAACAAGCAAACCTATTGCTTTCCTGTTTAACCAGCAGGACATAAAAATAAAAATCTGACAAACACATGCAGGAGAAACAAAGAGAAATGACAGCCTCATGTGATAAAAGCCACAGCTCTGCAAGATCTTGCTCATGAAAGCACATGTTATACAAAGCACTGTTGATTATTTGGAGGGATGACAGGCACATTCACGGAGATGGAAAGTTTTGCACTTCTGACTCCCAGATGTGACATTTTATCTGGGAGAAGTAATTTGCTACTTTACTGAGAGAACAGTTTTGATAAAATAAAACATAATTTTCAATCTTCTGAATGTCCTAAAAGCAAGAAGTCATGAAGCACTTTGAAGAAGTGAGTACAGACATGTGTATTTAATTCATTTTGGGGTGACTAAACAGAGGCATAAATTACTATCTTTCATTTTTAGACTGTTTTTACAGGTTCATTTTACATACTACCTAAGAAAGAAAAATAACTGAAAGCTAGTTAACAACATAGAGCGTAAAATAAAATGTAGTTCAGAGGGCCAGGTTTTGAAGTGATTTCTTGGCATCTAAGAATGTAAACAAGTCCCGTGAGAGATCTTTTTCTGTGCTACCTTAGGTTGGTAGAATTAAACCGTCTTGAAAATATCTTAGAAATTCAGCTGCTTGTAGCTCTTCAAGCACCTGTTTTCAGTGCACTGCATTTCTAAGAGGCTGATAGACACACCAACACAATGAAACTCAAACTTAACTCCCAGTACAACAATACTTAAAAATAAAATAAAATCTTTTCCTGTATGAGAACAAATACCAGGTGATATACAGTGGCCATAACATCTCCCTATTTCATCTAATTACCGTGATTTTTCAGCATTAATGCTTTTTAAAAAAAAGCTTCACCAATGATCAAAGATCTTGGCCCAATGTTTTTGGTAATAAAAGCTATACAAAGCTTACCTGCTGTAAATGTAGCAACCCATATAATTGATTTCTTTGTCTAATTTGTACCGCCGGAAGTCCTCCCAAGCATCTTTAATGGCTGTGATGGCCATTATAACACAAATTGGGATCACAGACACCTCTGGCTGGAAAGCATTCACCACTGGCACAAAATTCAGCAGTGCAATGAACACAAAGTAAATATTGGCAAAGCGGTGAAACTGCTCATAGATATTTTTAGGGAGGAAAGTTAAGATGGTATATTTTGTGGTCTTAATTTCATTGGAATCATAGAATCTGTTTGGATTTTCCTTCCTCTTCTTGCTTCCAAAGGGCAAATTGGAGATGATCACACGTTTATTTTCATTTTTCTTCTTTCTTTTCCTTACTTTTCCTCTCTTCTCCAGCTCCTCATCTTGGATTTCCATGTCTGGAGCACCACACTGGCAGCAGGTTTCCTTGAAAAAATGTTTTTTCCATGTCATTGTAGAGAAGCAGCCTGGAGAAATTTTCCTTGACATCTTGTTTTCCTTTCAAAAAGTAGCTTCAAGTTGAAAACCAACGAAGTCAGAAGAGTTCAGTAGCCCAAATGAACTCGCGAATGGTGGAGAGAAGAGTTGAGATGTCTGAATCCCAGGGCTGCCTCCTCCACTCCAACCTCCACGTAGCCGGGGCCAGGGATCATCCTGACTCAGCTGCACCAGGCCCTAGATCCTGCTGGGGCAGCTGCACCTCACGTCTGCCAAAAGCATCCTGAATGTTTTGTTCTTCCTGCCAGCAGATGCCTGGAGGCCCTGTTCAGACCATTTCCCTTCTCTGCTCGTATGAAGTGTCTCTGCTTTAACACAGAGCAGTGGCAAAGCTGAGAACACACACCCGATTTTCACAGGTCACTCCAGGAGTTCCAGAATCACTTTATAACCCTGGGAGTTGCCAGGAAGCTCAAAGGTAATGGGCAGAGCTCTGCGTCCCAGATGTCAACAAAGGATTGCCACGAGCCTCAGTACAGAGAGCATTTCTCTTTTATTTCCTCTATCTATTGTTTGTTTTCATGACCATAAGATCAATTATTATTAAACAAACAACCAACCCCCATTCTCCCAAGCTAAGCCTATGATTTTGTAGCCGGAGGAGTCAGACATGGACAGAAGCAAGTGAAGTGCAATGTACCTGCATTGCCCCTCACCCTGATCCTTCCCTCCAACAGACCCCAAACCTTCCTCTCTCACCTAGGCACCTTTGATCTTTCTTCCTCTGACACATAAATCCGTCAGCACAGATGAGGGCAAATTTCCAAAAGAGCTAATGACATGTATGTAAACCATAGCATTTTTTTTTCTCTGTGGCTTGGGCTTAAAGGCAGGTGAAAAAAGGAAAGCACACAAATATTTAAACTTATTTTAAATAAAAACTCCTGTTTGCTTCATGATGTAGTGAGAGGGTAAGCAGTCTCAAGTTAGTACTTGGACAAGAAACTCTGATGAAATCGAAATGTTGCAACAAGAATTGCAGTGAAATTATTTCTTCCTTCTGAGTCAGTCCTGAGCAAACAGCTTCCCGCAGGTGTTGCACCAGCTCCAAAGCCAAGCTGGCTTGTATTGATCTCTCTGCTTACTGGAAGTCCTAAAACTTTTTCATCTCCTGATTATTATATGATTTTCTGTCCTGATTTTTCATTTCCTGATTATTACTAGATGATTCACCTTGTAGTTGATCATTAATTTCTATATTACTGGTTTTAGTGTGAGACATCTGAAAGACATTGTTCCAGTTTTCTCTACAGCCCCAGTTTTCTGTTCCAGACTTGAGTAAGTTCCATTTATCCTCCAGATCCTTCTTCTATCAGGAGAGGATGTTGTGTGTGTTGACAAGCTGCTTGGAAAACTTGGAATGAAAACCTGTATATACCAGCACACACTGTTGTGATATGAAACAAAGCCTCAGTGATATTGAGATGATTTAAGTGAGATAAAGAAGGTATTTTTAAAGGTAGAAAAAATATTTTGTAATGGTTCTTCCAAATTTACAGTACGCTGAAAGGTCAGAGAGGGAGTTACTGTAAAATCAGATGAGCAGTTTCTATCAGAACAGAAGCAAGGAAGCAAATAATTGATTTTGTTTACTTACTTGTCATATACCCTGGTTTTAGTGAAGTTTATTGTCTTGTCATACTGGTATTTTCTGTAGTCTTCAATAGCATCCTTAATCATGCTGGCAAGCAGCACCATGACCAGAGGCAGCATCGTAATCTCCCTGTGGAAGACTTCCACTTGTGGGAACCAGTTCAGAACCACCAGAAAGAAAAAGTAAAGATTACCCAGCCTGAAAAGGTATAAAATAAATTAAAAGTCAGAAATTAGAATGTATCCTTTCCTTAATGAACAAGCCCCATTTTGTGTCAAAGGAACATTAATAATTTCACTCCTCTACCCTCTTTTTCCTTTCTCCAGAACAAATTAATCAGCTGCTTAACCAAGATGCATTTTTTATTCTTCAGAAGAGCCTGTGAACAGTATGAAGTAATCTTCATACTATTATAGCTAGCTCCAGTTTCTCATATGTTGGAAACAATATTTGTCTCTGGGATCTCCAAGGTCTTTAATGGCCCCTCAGCAATTCAGTCTTGAAAATAAGCACAAAATTTAACAAAAACCAAACAAACCTTTAAAAACTAACTAATGAATTTATAGAAATGTTCCCATCAGGGATCTGTGAAGGATTCTGTAAATGGCAAGCCAAATTAGGAATGGGCCAGTCTAGTATACAGAACGAAAATGTCAAAGCTAGAGATGGATATACAACTTTCATTTCTCTTTATTGTGATGATGGTTCCCTGGGCATCTTTTTGACTTGATTCTTTATGCTGGTGGCGGGGGATTGGGGGTGTTGGGATTAGGGGATTGGGGGATTGGGGTGAGATTGGGATTGGTGTGGGATTTGGATTGGGATTGGGGTGGGATGAGATTGGGATTGGGACTGGGGGATTTGGGATTGGGATGGGATTGGGGTGGGAGTGGGATTAGGATTGGGATTAAGGGTGGGATTGGGATTGGGGGATTGGGGTTGGGACTGGATTGGGATTGGGGAATTGGGATTGGGAGATTGGGGGATTGGG